TGAACCGGGGGTGGGGTAAGAGAAACTCAGAGACAGCATCTGAAACAAGCTCAAATTTTACTGGCATTGAAGCAGGCTAGACAAAAGGCCCAGGCCAGGTGCAGTGTTGGGGCTTTAGCTCCTACCAGCAGCCGGTCTACCCAGCAGGTCACAACCGTAGGCAATGCTGGCAGAGTGCCCTAGCACACCCTGTCCTGTAGTTACATAGGGGGGAGCAGCGTGCCCAACATGGAGAGGCTCCAGCCATGCTGCTGAGCAGACCTGGCAGCCGGCCAGGCTGACGCAGCTTAAGAGTTCTTGGGAGAAGCCTCATTTCACACGCTGTCGCTTTGCCCGTCTCCTTTTCTTGCGGGCAGCACGGGGGACAGTTTCCTCGCTAACCTTAGCCGTCTTAGTTGCTGGTGCAGCAGCCGCTGCCGGTGCTGATACCGCTGTCGATGCTGCTGCCGGTGCCGGTGCTGATGCTGATGCCGATGCCGATGCCGGTGCTCGGTGCCGGTGCTGATGCTGATGCCGATGCCGGTGCTGATGCCGATGCCGATGCCTCTGCCTCCACAGGAAGGATGCTTCAAGCAATACACAGGACAAAAATCAACCCCCACAAGGCAAGACAAGAATGTTTCACAGCATAAGTATCCAAGCTGTTGTCTGGGCAGCTGTCCCAATCCTGCCTCCCATGGTGGCCTTCATGGTCCAGCCTCCCTTTTTATACACTACAAAAGAACTTTACTAGCTTGGGGTTCCCAATACCCATGGCACCTCATTTCCTGTTCCCTCCCCCACCTCCCAAATACTGTGGTCTAATTCTCTCACTGTCCCCCACACAGGCCCTTCAACTTTGCAGTTCTGACTTTCTGCCTTCTGTTCAAATTCAATTTTTTTCTTAAAGCCCCACATCTCCTGCCTTATGCTGTGCTGTGGAACAAGTAGCAAGGATCTTGTCTGAGGCTCATTTCTTCTGACACCAGTGCAGGAAAAAAGCATGTGCAATTTGTATAGCCACCCAGCACCCTGCATGGTGGAGCTCTCACTACAGAGCAAACCCATGTTGACTGACAGAAGTGCTGGATGATTCAAGCTGAGTATATGGGACAAGGCCCATCCCCCTCTCTCTCACCTGGATGAGGCAGTGTCATCACCCTCTGGCTTCCTCTCCAGCACAGCGATGAAGAAACCATTTGTCAATGTTTCTTCCGGGGAAGCTCGGAGGCAGCACTCAGACCCCAGGAAGGTGGCAAGGCCTCGCTGGGGCCAAGAGGGCAGCACATTCACCAATCTATGGGAGAGGGACAGGCAGGGATGCCACAGTCAAAACAAAGCTTGCTATCCCAGTCCAGAGCTGCTTAGTCCAAAAACAACTGCTGTACTGCAACAGATGCCGAACAGGCAGCTGGGACAAGCCACTTGCAGCAGGAGGCGGAAGCCTGCTTAGCACTGTAGCAGGAACCCCCAATCCACAGCCCAGGAGTGCCAAGCTGTGCTTGTTCTAGTGGGTTACCACTACGATCCCACTCCTACAGAGAAGTGGATGGCACGTACACCTCCATTGTGACCAGCTGCAGGGATGCCTGCCTGAGAATTTCACTTTTATCCAACAAAGGACAACAAGGCAGACCACCAACTTCCCTTGTAGCACATTTGCCTCAATCACCCTTCCCCCACCCTTTTCAGCCCTGCAGCCTGCTGGCACCTGAAGGCTGCTCCGTATTCCTGAAGCACATCCCGCACTACGTCCTCATTCTCCTCTCGATGCACGGAGCATGTTGAATACACCAGGCGCTGCACACCGGGGAACCGCAGTGCTCGGGTCAGGACCTTGCGCTGGAATCCAGCTAGTGCCTGCAGTCTCTCCAGGCTGGGGGGGCCCTCTGGGCCTGGCAGCCGGTTCACCATTCCTAAGGTGCAAGGGGTGGGAAGGTGTATCAGACAGGCAAGGCAATCTGGGTTCCAACCCAGGAAAAGGGGCATGGATCAGCCACGGGTCTGAGAACCCTCCCCAAGGCAGGAGTGGGCAGCCATGGTCTCCCCAGACAGGGGCCAGGAGGCAGTTTGGTGACCAGTGGCTCAGATGGGCACTGGTTTAATAACTCCCCACTTTCTCACTAAATGGTTCTGGTCCAGCTCCAAGAGGGCACCCACCACCAGCCCTTTACCTGAGCCAGTGCATGAGGGATCCAGCAGAATGTATTTCACTTCACGGTATTTGGGGTCGTAAGGGTCAACTGTCAGGAAGTCTTGATTGGCCAGCTCATAGCAGGTTGCCCCAGCCCGCACCAGCATGGTACTCATGGTGGTCAAGCGCATGATGTCCAGGTCGAAGGCAAAGATCTGTCTGAATTGGATCCCAAGTTCCAAAGAGCGGTGTAAAGCAGACCAGCCCCAGCATGGGCACCAGGCACCATAGAGACTGTTCAGCCTGTCAGCCTATTTCCCCGCTACAGTAGGGTACCCCCTTTATGCCACTGTCCCCAAGTGCACGGGAACACACCACAGGGTTGCATCCTTGCAGGTCAGTTTCAGAGCAACTGTTATTAATGGCTGTCAAAGTGACTTGGAATACTTTTCAATTCCCTTCCAGGTCCCTCTCCAGCTGCCATTGTCCCAGCCTTTTAAGACCTGCTCTTCATCCTCCTCAATTTGACCAAGGCAGTTGTAGGTCTCAGACAAATATAGTTGGTAAGACAAGCTGAAAAGGCCTCCATATTCATACACCCCTCCTTGATTGCTTGCCCTTTCCTTCTTGCAGAGACTTGCTTTTAACTCCTTTTCTCCTACCCTGTAGCGAGGACATTCTAGTCACAGCTTCAGCACCTCCCACTGAGGAAACTACCCTTCAAACTGCAAGCATCTTCCTCCCCATCTCTTACTTAGGCTTCCCTCCTTAATAGCTTTGCCCTGCAGCTCGCACTCACCCCTTGTTCTTCAGGATGGCAGCTAGATGGCTGGTCTTGTTTCCAGGGGCAGCACAGGCATCAATCACATGGGAGCCCAAGGAGGGATTCAAGAGGAAAGCAGGGAGGCAGCTGGCCTGAAAGGAAGGCTAACAGTCACAGCCTAGTACAAACTCCCCCACAATACAATGGCTCAGTCTCTCCACACCACTTTCCACAGCCAGTCCTTGTAGCCCCCATGAGGCCAGAATCCTCCCTGTGCTGCAGAACGGTGTTCCAGAATGCGAGTATGACTTCTTAGTCCCCGTGATCAAGCAGCACAAATAGTGTAAACTACTCCCATTCTTCACAGGGAGCCTGGATGTCACTAACAGATGATGCCCTTAATTCTTTCATTGCTCTTTAAAAAAAAAACTTATCCAATTCACATCCCTATTCCTCCACTCCAGGTAGGCTCACATCTCCCCAGGTACCAACAGCTACAACCACCCGCCATCTAGTAGCCAAAGCCTTCTTTCAGGTTGTGGTTTTATATGTTATGGGTACAAAATATTAAAAACTAGAACTGAGAAGAAAGCACAAGCTTTTGACATCAAAAGCTGCTTCACATTTTTATATTTAAAATATCCCACCCCCCTTTTTTTCCAGATGTATCTGAAACTCTTGGATCAGGAAGCTGGAGAAATTAGATCCTGATAGCAACAGAGCACGAGCAGTAGCTTAAATACAGCCTTCATCCTTCTCTCACAGGCTTTGCCTACACACTCCATCAGCTGTCATCAAGCAGCAGGAGAACCCTTTATCATGCCCCACTCCATTCCACACAAAGTAGTCCCTGATATTTCCCACCCCACTATGGTGTCTTTTTTTGCCCAACACTGCACTGACCTTATCTTGCAGCACAATGTGTCCTGCCATGTAAAGATAGTTCTTGTGGAAATCTAACTGTGGATGGAAGATCAGCAGATCTGGCAGATGAAGATCCAACAAGAATTGCTTCTCTGAGAGGGAACACAGGTCCTTCATGCTGTCCCAAGACCATGAGTGTGTGAGGAGAGAAAAAGAATGATACAGTGGAAGATACACCCTGCTTCATACACTCCCATGCTCAAGATACATCACAAGCTAGCGAGAAAATCCCCTTTTCTTTTGATCCATAACCCATGCCCTAACTTTACTTTGGGGACCAGTCAGCATGCAAGTGGATAGGATGAAATGTATAGTGTATGATCATGGAGATTCCAACCCACCCGCTGCCATTACTGGGGTGGATACAGTCTAGTGACGCTCATTCTCATACAAAGCCCTGCCACCTTAGGCGAAGACTCCAGAAAAAGCCAATGCTGGACAGCTCACATCTCTGCGCTATGTGCAAAGCTTCCCACATCCCACCTGTAGGCCGAGCATCTGTCACAGCTTGCCTGAGGAGGACAACTAAGACCAGAAAGCAGATGCCAGCTCAGTGCAGGAACCGTTTACCTGGTTGCTTTGCCCAGATAGGCATAGCCCTGGCGTTTGAAGTAGTCAATCACCTCCTCCACACTAGTTTTCAGGGTGTTCACGCGGACATAACGCGGCACTTGAGGGGCTGGGAAAACAAAGTCAGATTATAGAGGCATATGCCAGACCCCCACATCACCTGACAAAGGAGAATATCACAACTGGCTCCAAGAATCAGACAAGAGAGATGGGCCAGGTGTGGGCACGCACCCAGCCCAGTCTAGGCCATCATTCACAGAGAGCCAAGTAAGCAGAAGCCTAGCTCTCACGGATCCAGCATCCAGAACGAACTGTAAAATTCACCGCCCTATCTGTGACCCTTCTACCTATTAAGACAACAGCACAAGCACTGACCATCCCTGGAGACGCAGGGTTTTAAATGAGCCACAGGCTGCTGCAAGCCACACAGCACACAGGAATCGCCCCCATCCTGGCTCAGCACAGGGCCCTCACTCACACCCATCCCTGGGGCCGTCTCACGGATGTGGAGGGGAGCGTTCCTCCATCTCCTCCGTACCTTGCCACATGCCTGGGCTCACCCCCGGGACCGGCACCAGCAGATCCTCATTGCGGTTCACCTTCTTCCAGACCTTAAGACGGGCCAGCTCAGCCTGCAGCCGGGCCCGATGCTTCAGCATCAACACTTTCAGGCGGCCTCCGCATTTCAGGCCTTTGCCGAAGAGCAGGTCGTACACCAGCACCTACGGGGGGAAAGGAGCGGAGGGGGTCGGGCCCTGCCCTGCGCCTCCGCACTCTGCCCGACACACCCCACGCAGCACGGTGCTACCTTGGCCAGGTGGGGGGACAGCTTCTTCTCGGCCTTGAGCAGGGCGGCGCTGGCCAGGATGGAGTCCAGCACGGCCGAGTAGCGCAGCGTCTCGGACACCAGCGCGTACAGCTGCTTCACGTTCTGCGGGGACGCGGGGCCGTGAGGCGGGGCCCGCCGCGCTTCCCCTCCCCTCCCCGCGCCGGGCACCAAGGCCCG